CACTCAGTTAAATTAGGTATATAATGTAACAGTAGACATGATAAAGGGTAACTGAAAGGCAATATAAAATACTGTGAAGGACTGCTTTTGCAAAAATGTCTGTTCTGTGAAACCGAGTTAAACAAAGCACAAAACCATTTGCTTTTGTGAGGGAAAAAATTGGGATTGGCTTTGTATTACCAAATGACACACAATGGTATTCTATGCTTCTTGTTATGCAGGAACTGTCCCTCAGATTGTAAAGAAGGTGGGTCCAAACAACTAAAGAAAGTGAGACCAACCAGTCAGAAGTACAATCTTATCTTGCTGAATCAATCACTTTCATTCTGCCTACTAAATTTTAAAAGTGATGTATGCTGAAATGAAAACAATCCGAAAGATATGTTTCCCCTTTAAGTAGGAGGGGAAAACACACAGATGACAGGTTGCCAGATTGTGTGAATCTTCCTGTTCTTGTTCCAGAGCAGCTGGTGGTGACGGGTGTAGATGACCCTGTCTATGCACATGCTGGGGAGGATGTGACTCTCAGCTGCTCTGTGGACACCCATGTTAATGTGACAGAGCTTCAAGTGGAATGGAAAAAGACAGACGATGACGGTGACATCTTGGTGCTTCTGTATGATGATGGAGAGAACAGACCAGAGTCACAGGATGGGAGATACTCTGGAAGAGCTGAATTCTTCACTGAGGAAAATCCCAAAGGAAACTTCTCAATGAAACTGAGGAAAGTCAGGACTGAAGACAAAGGAAAGTTCAGGTGTGAAGTCCACTCAGATACTGATTCTGCCAGTACCACTGCCAGGATAGCAGCACTGGGTGAGTCACTAGAAGGACTGGTTTTATCATCTCAACAGTTTTGTGTGATTAAATCACATTTTAATTCCACTGAGCCTCAGTGGTTTTACTGCAGACTGATCTTTATGGAAATGCCATAGGGCTTAATCTGCTCGGTGTAACAGTAGAAATGGTGAAATTTTGTATGGTTTTAAAAACATAAAATGCAGTAAAAGAAAGAATTAATATTTGTCTCAGGTTTCAGCTTTAGTGCAGTTTTCAGCTCTATCATAACAGGTATTTTATTTAGAGTGATGCAGTGTAATGTGTAATTATGCTTTTATTATTAATTATTAATTAATTATTCATTTAGGAACTACAGTGACCCTGAGAGTGTCGCTGGGAAAAATTCATAACATAGTATTTTTATTCATTCTACATAAAATTGTGCAACTGGGTAATACAGTTAAACAGCACCTTGTGAGATGTTGCATAAATATATCCAAATCGTAATTGGGAATATGAAAAATCTCATATATTAAATCTGTATGTTTTCAGGCTGGAGAACAGGGCCGGTATGCATAAAACTTCCTACACTTGGACTTAAGAGTTAAAAAAATCTTAGGATTCCTCTCCAGCTCTCTTAAATCATTAAAGAGCTGAGACCAAGTCTTAACACTTAAGAATGTTTATGCATGCCACTCATTCTTAAGTCTGGGAGTAGGAGCAAAATCATGTTACCCTGAGAATTGTCACGCATTTAAGAGTGAAATTTTACTCTGAGAAGTTTTATGCATACCGGCCCAGGACTTTAATCATAAATTTCTGCTCCTCTTTGTGAGACTAAATGGTGTAGACATAGGGATGCCAACTTTCTCAACCCCAAATGAGGGACACTTTCTTGCAGGTGCGCACGCAGAGCAGCTGACCAACAATAATGGAAATCGCAAGGTTTCATACTATAATTCTACACATTTCACAGTGCAACGTTTGCATGAGTTTTGCTATGCTTACAGTAGTCTATTATTGGCTGACGAGGCTGTGATTGGAATATGGGACTGGAGCTGCCCCTGAAGGGACAAATCAAAATCACCCATATTTCAGGATGTCCCGGACAATTCGGGATGGTTGGCAACCCTATGTGGACGTGTTGATTATGCTGCAGCATTACAAACAGCCTATTTTAGAAAATGACTAATGGAATGTAATTCTGAATATTTTAGGTTATTCATCCCTGCATTGGCTGATTCTGGGGCTGTGCATCGCTGTCACACCTGTAGTCTTACTTACTGGTGCTTTATCTGTCAGCCATTTAATAAGGGGAGGTAAGTGTAGCATCTGCTCTGTCATTTCTAGTAATTTTGATGACTTCAGTGGATCCATGTATGAATCCACTTATCCTGTAGAGGGCATCTCAGCAGACATGGGGCATCAGGCAGGACTGTATCTACACAAGGTGCCTGTCCATTGCAGGGCTTAACTGTGATGTAGTTAACATACTTTGATCCTGTGTCTCTGGTAACAAACACATACAGTATGTGTGAATATGATGTATTTCAGAAAATTTTATCACTGTAAACCCCTGCAAACTAAAACAATGAACCAAAGCTGATGTCCTCATTGAAATTATACTAAAATAATGCAGGAGCTGCATCTAGTGAGACTGACAGTCTGTACTGAGTGTCTCTAGGTGAACATGCAGCAGAATGACCATCTGAGGATGGCTGTAGATCATTAAACTTTGCATGAATCATCAACTAATGTTACAGAGCATGTGGTTAAATTTGGTTCTACTTTCTGTCTATAGATAAAAGCAAACAGGCTCTGTTGAGTCACTGGTCACATGTCACAGTTCCACCAATCATGGTTTCCGCAGCATTCATCCTGTGGGGTGTAACTGAAGGTGAGCCCTTTGAATATAGTTTAAAGAAGCTTTACAAAGAGATAGTTTTTGTTGTGCAGGCAGTAAGAAATAAACAGCAGCAGCATAAACAGCAACCTGCTGGGGATTAATTATATGAATTAGTGACTGTAATTTGAGGCTGATACTTAGTATTTGCAATGTATACTGTGGTGATTCACTTTGAAAGTGAATAAGTTTCCTTCATAAATTAACTCATTTCTAGTTTGATATGTATTCCCTAAAAGATTATTTTATTGACAATTATTTTGTGTTTGCTCAGAATGAGCACCTCATGGAATACCCCCCAGGCAGGTCATGAAATAAAGATATATTTTAAAACAGCAGAGGCAGTACCCTCTGATGACTAATTATAGAATTTTAGATGTTAGCAGTCAGTAATGAAGTGACAGGTAACATGAAATCCAATGTAAAGTTCACCAGAGTAAAAGGAAGGAAGTTATGAGAAGCTAAGAAATTTTAAACAGGAAAAATGGGGATCCTAGTGCTGCAGTCAGAACTGAGGAACAATTCTATGGCTGCTCACATAAATACTGTAAGAGGAAAGGATTCCTACAGTTTTATCAGTGACATTTCGGGGGGGTTCATTTCCCTTGTGTTTGGAGGGTCGCTGGTTCAAATCTCTGACTCAACAGAGTGATTTTATACATGGGGCTCTCAGCAAGGACCTTAACCGCCAATTGCTCCCGGTATTTTCTGACCCAGCTTGCCTCTGCTAAATAAATAAAACTTAATGTTAACTGTTTCCCAGGATCCACAGAAGAGGCTGTTACTTGTCCTGTCATCAGTCTGCTGTATATCCTGGTGCTCTTTAATATGGCTCCATATCGGAAATTATTCACAGGTATGTTTACATATTTCCATGTTTCCTATCCTGTTTCCTACACTTCATATTAAAGGAGGTTGTCACTGTTTGAGAAAAATATGTAGATAAAGACAGTGATCATTGTCAGCATTGTGTCAGAGCGGTTTGGAGAGGAGCATCCGGGAGCTTCCAAAGGATCATATGTAAAGAACCAAAGAGCAGTGAAGATCCATAGTATCAGGGAGGAGATGGAAACCCTCAGGTCCCAATACAAACAGACAAAAGAAGAGGAGCGCAGTGGCTTGGCTCAGCTGATGTACATCCTACATAAGAAGATCAGGGTCCTCCATGGGGCAGAGTGGCATTGGAGACGGCGCCGTGAAAGAGCCAGAGAGCACTGCATTCATCACCAAGCTCTTCATGAAGGAACTGTTAGGGCAGAAGCATAGCAGCAAGCTGGCCTGTTCACTGGAGGAGATGGACCAGCACCTGAAGCAGATGTATAGCAACCCAGCAAGAGATCAGGACTTGGGGGAGTGCAGCACACTGATACAGCCAACCGAGGCAGCTGTGCAGTTTGACATGTCAGACCTGCAGCTGAAAGAGGTTTCGAAGGTAATCACGAGAGAATGAACAAGCTCAGCTCCAGGCCCGAGTGGCATCCATGCAAAGTGAACAGGAAGTGCCCTAAAGTCTTTCTGCACTTGTCGAAGCTCCTCCGAGTTGTCTGGAGAAGGCCCAGTATTCCAGACCAGTGGAGAGTTGCCAAAAGGTTTTGGATGTCAAAGGAGAAGAACTCGAGGTGAATAGACCAGTTCCACCTAATCTCTCTGTTGAGTGTTGAAGCAAAGATCATCTTCAGTGCTGTTTGTAAGCAGCTGTGCACCTTTCTTGTGAAGTTCAGTTACATTGATACATCAGTCCAGAAAGGGGGCACCGCGGTAGGGGGGGGGGGGCACCGCGGTAGGCAGATTCATAAAAATTACTGTTCTGATTAATAGCAGAAGGTCTGCACATGGGTGATATATATCATAAATGAGGAAAATATTCATTACATTCTCTTAAATGTGAATGTATTTTAAGCTTCATTTTACGTCAGGTATGAATTAGCAGACTAGACTCTCATTGTGGGTCCATTTGTCTTAAACAGCAATGGAGGGAAAAAAGATCAGAGTGAAAATCAAATAAGGAGAATTAAAAACAAATAAAAAGGAACTTATGTGTGGGAGTGATTTAGTGAAATAGTTACCATGATGAGTCAAGTGTTGGGAATGTCATATGCAACATGGTATTAGTATTCTTAATGGTCTGTATTTGGGAAGATACAGTGACATGCAGAATTATAGTCTGACGGGAGTAAAGATGTTAGTCTGTGTTGAAGCTGTTGTGGAAATACCTGTTGCCATTTTTATTTTACCACAAAAGAAGAACTTTTACGTTAAGCTAATGTTTATTTATTGTTCATCACGCTTACATGTAACCCACTGAGAAATACTGGTAATGTGTGATCGGATGCTGGTCTATAAATCGGGGAAAATACTTCATTTGGGTGCGTGGTCGGTGGATGAGTCGATCTGCGCATCATTAACAGTGACACAGCTGATCAGGGAGGCAGGGAGAACAAAGGGAATCTGTCAGTCCTGTGGCTCAACCTGGAAAATGCTTATGGCTCAATTCCAGGCAAGTTGGTGAGCTACTTTTTTTCTTCTCAATTTTTTTATTGATTTTAAACAGGGATATAACAGGGTAAGTATGTAATGTTTCAATATGGGTTTTATAA